CCCCATGGCGGGAGCCCCCCCCCATCCCATGCCCATAGTGGGGAGCCCGGCCCCCTCCCATGCTCCTGAGACAGGATTCCGGGTCCCCTTCCTTTCCTGGGGACCCTCCCTTCTTGTCAGCTGGAGTCTCGTGGAGGACTCCAGGGATACATTTCAGGCTCTTGGGTTTCCCTCTGCTGGGGTTAAGAGGAGTTTGGGGTTCCAGGAACGTCTCTTCCTTCACTTTCCTCTCCTCCCCCAGGCATGGCTGCTATCAGTCCTTGTTACCACTCAACCACCTCATTATTTTTTAATGATTGGGAGCTGCCTGTCTGTATGCAGCATCCCAAGCAGTGCAGAGTATATGACATGAATGCAGGAGCTCAGCTCGATCCCTGAAGGACCTGACCTTCTCAAACTATCCTGCTTAATGTTTTCTGTCGCATCTGGCAATCTTAGAACAGGACACGTTTTATTTTTTGCTTGCAATAGAAGCTTTTCTTTTTGTTCCCCGAGCTGGAGAGAGACCCCACTGAAATGAACGTGTCTGCTGTTTATTTCTAGAAACAGGCAAGTGGCTGTTCTCTTCTGTGACCCACGGAGAATGCTAAGCGAAAGCATGGAAATAATTTAATATGGACATGTAACTAGACTATCTGCCACTGACATGAAAGAGATCTACAAGGAATATAGGCTTTGGTTACTGTGATTTGTTTGTAATGTAGCCATTCGATCAAGGTGGCCATAAACAATTGAAGCAACATTAAAGGACATTTCTAACCCTGCATGTTGAAACACAAAAGAACAAAGCTTTTCCTGCAAGATTTTATCTGTATTTTGGAGTTGGATTTTTTTTAACTGTGAGTTAATTTTTATACATTTGAAAGATCCACTCAGATTAATGTACAGCTATTTATTTTAACCTAACTTAATATATTGTCTGATCACATCTTCTCGACCAAGTACCAGGAAAGTTATATAATCTGAATGGACAGAGCAGCATTTGCCTGTTCCACTGCGTTCTTTCATGACTACAGCAGTGCATCTCATGTAGCAGTCAGCCTGCCCCAAGGACATGTTGACTATATTGAAAAGGTAGAATCGTTCAGTTACTCCGATTTTTTCAGGGACTATCTGATTCCCAACCACCCCTGTGTTTTCTCAGCTAAATTCACTGAGGGCTGGGGCAGCAGGAGGAATTGGGTGACTCAGGATGGGAAACCTAACTTTGATTACCTACTGCAGCATTTTGGTAAGTGAATTAAGTTTTTAATATGCCATTTAATATGAAAATCTGCCTAATTGTCAGGGTGGTGAAACACTGGAATAAATTGCCTATGGAGGTTGTCGAATCTCTATCATTGGAGATTTTAAAAAGCATGCTAGATAGATATCTATCAGCGATGATCTAGATCATGGGTGGGCAATAATTTTTTAAGGGAGGCCACGTCACAAATTTCAGAAGTGTCCATGAGCCAACCTGGAAGGGGCGGGGCCTTGGGCAGAAGGGGCGGGCCATGTGCTGTAAAAAAATGCCACTATGGTTTTTACACAACAAAGTAATTCAATTTTAATAATACTTAACTGCATACAACATTATCCAAAGATTATCATAGAAGGCAACACTTGTAAAATTTGTAATAATAACTCTTAACATTTTGAGAAAACTTGTAACATTTATAATAACAACACTAATACTAAACATAGGGCACTGAAAATTAATACTTAGTCCTGTCATGAGTGCAGGGAACTAAACTAAAGGACTTTGAGGCCCTTTCCAGACCTATGATTCCATGAAATAGTATCAGTGTCCCTGTTTTTCCTCCCACCCACATTAAGGATATTCAGTTTCATGAGTTACAAAAAGATTCCCACACTTGACTATAAAAATGGCATCTAGATATTTTTATCAAAACCAGTTGTAATGAGATAGGTTATTGGGCATTTAAAGCTGCTACTTGAAGGAAGCAGCTACAATTTTCAGTGATTAACTATGTTTTTGAAACGCCTTGAAACATAGGAGCACTTCAGGACACAAATGATCTTTTTTTTTTCAATTAGAATATTTATTTAGTGAAATGAATGGTATGTGTATGTGCTTTTTTAATTCATTAAAAGACACTCATTAACTAAAACCATTAACCAGCCCAAACCATATTTTTTCTGCTGTGCTCCTGGGCAAGATGATGCTGTGGGACCTGGGGCGGAAGAGGTGGTATTGAGAGCTACCCTACTGGGAACTTTGCTTGCCCTGGGGTCCCTACCCCCCTAACTTCTGGCCAATGGAAGGGACCTGCAGCAGAGGGGAGGGTGCCAGGGGTTAGCCTCCTTCCAGAGTTGTCTGGGGTGGAGGCTTAGATTTCTTACAGCTCCTGCCCCCCACTTCTAACCTGTTGCCTGGCAGCTGCCCGGCATGCACAAGCCCTTTGAATAGAAGCAGTTGAAAGGGCTCATGCCTTTGGGCAGCTCGATCAGTGGGGCAGAGCTGTGAGCTCTTTTCAGTTGCTTCTGTTTAACGGGCTTGTGCCTGTCGGGTGGCTGCGAGGCAATGCAGCCACCCAGCAAACAAGCCCTTTAAATAGAAGCAGTTGAAAGAGCTCGCGTCTCTGGCTCCCTAGCAACATGTTAGAAGCTGGGGGAGCTGCCAGCCCTTTTAAATGCTTCTATTGAAAGGGCTTGTGCCTTCCCTGCACCTGTCAGGCAATGCTTGCCTTGCAGCCCCAGGAACAGGAGAGTCCTGTAAATAAAAACAGCATGGCTATGTCTACACTCGCGGCTTCTTGTGCAAGAACTCTTGCGCAAAAAACCGTCCACACTGCCATGTGCGAGCTGTGCTTTTGCGCAAGAAAGCTCTGATGGCCATTTTAGCCATAGGGCTTCCTTGCGCAAGAAATCTCTGCTGAGCGTCCACACTGCCCTCTTGCGCAAGAGCTCCTGCACAAGAGGGCTCACACCTGTCAAAAAAGAGCGTAGCTCTTGCGCAAGGAGCCCCCTCTTACCACGCCGTACTGTAAATTTCCTTGTGCAAGAGCAGGCGGGCAGTGTGGAGACACTGCAGATTCTTGCGCAAGAATGGCCGTACTTGCGCAAGAAGCCGTGAGTGTCGACATAGCCCTTGCGTCTCCCCCAATGTGCTAGAGGAGCTGGGAGCTGCAAGCCCTCTCAGCTGTTTCTGTTTAAAGGGCTCTCCTGTTCCCTGCAGTGCTAGGCAAAACATTGCCTGACAGGTGCAGGGAAGGTGCCTACCCTTTACATAGTAACAGCTGAAAGGGCTTGCAGCTCCCCATGCCTCTAGCGAGTTGCTAGGGAGCCAGAGAGACGAGCCCTTTCAGCTGTTTCTATTTAAAGGGCTCCTGCCCCTCTCCTGCTCAGAGGCAAAGATCTAGGGGGTGAGGCCTGAAACTGCCTCACTGGCCAGATCAAAGCCCTAGGTGGGCTGCATCTGGCTCACTGAGAGGCTTTTGCCCACCCCTGATTTAGAGGGTGCTTGGTCCTGCCGGGAGGGCAGGGGACTGGACTCAATGACCTCTCGAGGGCCCTTCCAGTGCTAATGTTCTATGATTCTATCAATGATAAAAGTCAAAGAATTTCTAACAATATGGCCTCTGGCCAATGACAAATACACTCTGAGCCTTAAAAGGATGAGCCTTTCAGTTGATACATTCAGTTATAAGAAGATATAAAAATGGTCCAGCCACCCAGTTTTAGGGGTGTTAAGTAGCAATTAATTTAATTTGCTAGTCGAGTACAGGCAGTCCCCGGGTTACATACAAGATAGGGACTGTAGGTTTGTTCTTAAGTTGAATCGGTATGTAAGTCGGAACTGGCGTCCAGATTCAGCCGCTGCTGAAACTGATCAGCGGCTGATTCCAGGAAGCCCGGGGCAGGGGCTTCCTGTAGTCATCCACTGGTCATTTTCAGCAGCTGCTGACTTGGGGACACCTGGGGCAGAGCAGCTGGGGTGCTGCTGGGGTGGTCCAGTGGCGCCCAGAGCGGCGCTCCGGGACCAACCGGCAGCGCCCCCGCTGCTGTACCACAGGCGTCCGGAGCAAAGCCGCGGAGCCCGAGGGCAGCAGGATAGCCACGGCGCGTCTGGGCTGTCCCGCTGCCCCCGTGCTCCGCGGCTTTGCTCTGCTCTGCTCCCCGTCCCCCAGGTCTGCAGATCGGGGGGAGGGGGAGCAGAGCGGAGCACAGCAGAGCGGCGGAATGCGCGGCCCAGCTGATTTTGTACAGTAGAGCATCGTTGCTTTTCCAGAAGTTCAAGGGCCAGTGTAGACAGCTCGCAGCTTATTCCGGAAAAGTGACAGATTTTCCGGAATAAGTGGCCCAGTGTAGACACAGCCTCAGAGTATAAACCTTCATCCCAGACCATCTTGGCTAACATACGCTGATGGACCTTTCCTCTATGAACGTATCTATTTTTATTTTCCTAACCCAGTTATACTGTTGGCTTTCACAACATCCCCTGGCAGTGAGTTCCACTGGTTGGTTGCATTATGTGAGGAAATACTTCCTTACGTTTCCTTCAAACTTGTTACCTGTTGATTTCATTGGCTGACCCCTGGTTCTTTTGCTATGTGAAGGGGTAAATAATACTTCCCTATTCACAATTTTCTACCCTTGTTTGTACTTTTCCCCTTCACCCTAGTCCAAGCTTTAATTTAGTCTAAAAATAAACCTGAAATTGTTTAGAGTCCTATCACGTAAACTTAAAATCCTTAACTTTACACAGGTGAGTGATCCCAGGCGTGTGCACTCCAAGTTGGGTGGATAGGCAAGGAACCCGTTTTGACTATACTGGAATATCTAAATCTCTCTGTATGCTGTGAGAGCAGAGTTTTGGCTATCGCCCATATCCCATTCCCAGTGCAGTTTGCTTTGCTGCCGTTTGTGGCAATGTCACTGCTACATGCCTCATTCAGTGAACACTTCCATAAATCATGTCATGAATAACACTTACCTAAGATTTAGTGGAGGTGTCAGGAAAGTGAGACTTGCCTTTATATGTTTCTACAGCACCTAGCACGATAGGGCCTGTATACTAGATGCTGACATAAGATAAATATGTAAGATTACAGTTTTGGCACCAATTATTCTGCTCCCCAATGGGCTCAAAAAGTTTATATTTCAGGGAAGGCTGTAGTACCAGTTGCCAACTGTGATGTCAAGGAATACAATTCTAATCCAAAGGAACAGATCCCTCTCAAGGAGTACATAAGTTATTGGAAAGAATACATTAAAAAAAACTACCAGTCACCCCGGGGGTGTCTTTACCTCAAAGATTGGCACTTGTGCAGGTAAGAGAGCCCTTTGGAATCCTCAGCATGCCATAAGACAGCGGCAAACTGCCGTAACGCTGATCTTTCGCCACCCGGTTGTGTGATTGAAGGCAGCTGTCCACTGAAATACTTTTCTTGCACTGTCCTGACCTAACTCTGCCACACACCAAAGAGTTCTCACACGTGTTTGTCGTGAGCACTGCATCTTAAAAGGGAGACTTTCTCCTGGACACCTCCATTCCCATTGCGATACTTCTTGTGATCGTCTGTTGGCTTTTACTTTGGCCTTTGGTTAGTCAGGTAAAACCCTTACCTTTTTTAATGGGTTCTTAAAGCAAT